TCATTGTAAAAGAAGACTTGAAAAACAAAATTTTTTGTTTTTCTTATATAGTTGTATTTTGGGTGAATTATTTCAACGTCGACCTTTATTTCAAGCACAACGTGAAGATGATCAATTAGAAATGATTTCACGTTTATGTGGTTCACCAGCACCAGCAGTATGGCCAGATGTTATAAATTTACCTTTATTTTCAACATTAAAACAAAGAAAAATTTATAGAAGAAGATTACGTGAAGAATTTCAATAGTATTATTTATTTTATAAATGATTTTTATTTAATATATTTTCATAATTATTTTAGTCTTGTTGAACCTGCTTTGGATTTATTAGATCGTATGCTTGAATTAGATCCATTAAAACGAATAAGTGCATCTGATGCTCTACAATCATCTTGGCTTAAAAATATTAGTGACGATACAATGAAAGCACCACCGTAAGGATTAATTTTTCTTCTTCTATATATATATATATATACATATAAATATGTCTTTAGCTTACCAACTACCCAAGATTGTCATGAAATGTGGAGTAAAGAACATAAACGATTATCACGCCGTGGTTGGGATGAAAATCAAATTCAAGCACATTTTAAAGAGCGTGAAATTATTGAATATCAACGATATAATCTAGCAAACGGTATATAAATTAATAAAGCAAAAACTTATGTTTCAATATTTTTATTTTAGATATGCAAATGGATAGTCCTGATCCAACAAATATTATTACTGACAGGTAGATTATTATTTATGGAATTGATGTCAAAAGAAAAAGACATCACCCTAAACAGAAATACATTCAAAGTATTGACAATTGGTTTAGAGACTTTCTTTGCTATTTAGAGTTTATTATTATTCTTTCTGTAAATGAACTATTTTCTCTCTTTATTTTTTTTAGTCCAAAACAACAAAAAGATAATGTTGTTTCATACCTTCAATCAATTGAAATAGTAGGTTCAACAGCATCATCAACAAAAAATGATACTAATATATAATTCTCAAAAATTTGAACACAAAATTAAATGATTAATATTATTTTCTTTGTTATCATCTTGTTTTTATTAAACAAAGTCGAGAAATATTTGATGGCATATCGACGATACCATAATCGTTCATTTGTCAATTTGAATATTAAAAAAAAAAGAAATTGTGTATGTGAAAGTGTATTTGTGTATGCGTCTATATCGATGTCTCTCTCTCTCTCTCTCTCTCTCTCTTGTTTTTTGTCTATTATTCTTTTTTTTTCTATGTTTTTCTTTTTCTTGTCAAGTAACTTCCAACATTGAACGTAATCAGTTCATTACACACCCGACGAAATTAAGACATAGTTTTCATATAAAACAGGTGTTTTATTTTCTTTCCAGAAATGAATAATAGAGAGAAAATTGTAGATGAAAATTGACGATCAGGAGAAATTCTACGGTTCGATTGTAAACTATATGATTATGAAAAGATTCATTTTCGAAATCGAGAAAAAAGAAACAAAACAAAAGTTTCAAATTTAAAAAAGTAACTAAAATATTTTTCTCATTTCTACAAATCTTCGTTAGACGCTGCTAAAAGAAACTGAGTAAGTTCTAAAAAACATAATTAACATGTCGCGTGGGTGCGATGATCTGTTACGCTCATATTGGATCATTACTAAGACATTTCAAATTTAGCTTAATGAAGATAATCGGCATATGATATAGACAGTTTATATCAATAGAAAAGAAAAAGCACATTAAGGAATTTGTTACACAATACTAAACAAACTTCTTTTTCATCATATCTAAAATGCTCTAAGTGACATCTATTGACATATTCTAAAATAGAAAATATTTCTACTATATAATTTTTCTGTCTCTAGGCTCATCAACAACGATCCACTGTAATTTAACATATGTGGCATATTAAATACACCTTTGTTCTCAAAAAAAAAACAAATAACAACGGTCAACTTCAATGCATCATTAATTATTCTTGTGTATCTCAAATAAAACAAAATGTTCAGATATTTAATTTTGTTTTTGGTTGCTTGTTTGTGTCTATATTCTTGTCGAAAAAAAAAAATGAATGAATGAATGAATTGTGCGAAGCTGATGCAGTCGCAAACAGGAAAAAGAAAATACACACAACCGGCACACAAGAAGAAATATACAACAATAACAACATCAAGAAGAAATAAGAACAACAATAAATTTTCAATGTGTCAATGTACGAATGAAAACAACAACAAAAAAGAAACATCTTCCTTGGTACTTTTTTCAATCATGACCAAAAAGAAAAAAAAAAAAGAAAGCAAATAGGATATATCTGAATAAACTATATTTCTATTCTTGTTCATCTTCCTCTTCATCCTCTTCATCATCATCACCACTTTCATTAGCATCTGATGCAGCAGCCGCAGCTCTTCGAGAATTTGATTTACCAGCTGAAGCTTTTGATTCACCTGAAAAAGATAATATTTTTATATTTACTTTTCTATCGTCTTCAATGATTTCTTACCTTCATCATCTTCACCATTTTCTCCCGCATCTTCTTCATAATCATCCTCAGAGCCATCTTCTTCGTCATAATCCTCAGCATCTTGATCATCACCGGCTACCTAAAAAAATAACAAAAACAAAATTGTTTTTTTTTTTGTTTAACTTTAAATTTAATTCTTTAAAACTTACATCATCATCATCATCATCATCATCTTCATCAGGTAAATTATCATCACCATTTTTATGATTTGATGATTCCTTACCGACTGGTCGATCACCATTTGTACCATTACGTGTAGCTTTTAATGCTTTTAATTTTGTTGGACTTATATCATCCAAATCAGCTTCACGTTTTGTTCCTTAAAAAAAATTTTTTTTGTTTTAAATAAAAAATACTATTTAAAATTTATTATTTTTTACCTTTCGTAGGCGTAACCGTCGGTGAAGACAAAGCATCAGTTGAATCGGCCATTGATCAAATTTAGTTATTTTAATATAAGAAGAAAATAGTAATGTAAAGTATGCGAGGATAAATGTAAGAATCAAGTAGACATAGACCCAACACAAATAGAGAAAGAGAGAGAATATGACAAGCAACTATTTCTTCTCTTTTCTTTTCTCTGCAGCGATTGCCGAATGTGTGTATATATCTGTGCGTGTATGTGTATGTCGTCGTCTGTCCTCTCGTTTAGCTCGTTTCTTTTATATGATGCTATGTGCGTGTCCTTTCGCTGTTGCCGCCATTCTTTGGCACATAGTCATATAGCATAATGAGAGAGAAAAAGAAAAACGAAGAAAAATCATCGTTCGTTCTTGTGTTTTTCCACCAATCCATGATTCTTCTTCTAGTCGACAATAATGACGTTATACGGGCAAAATATGGCAAACAATAGACTTTTCTTTCTTTTTTTTTTTTCTATATAGTCGAGAGAAAACGACGGCTAAGGTGACGAGCATACTGTGAATTGAATAGCGGCAGTGCAAACGGCGAATAAATTTTATGCTGTTGTTTTAAGCCAGGAAAAAAACACCCACAGAAATGAAAGATATTTGGATAGCAGCCATATTTATTCATAGGAAAAGAAAAAAGGATAACATCTATTAATATTGAATAGGTTGATGTTTTTAATATTTGAATTCATTAAATTTATTTGAGATTTTTTTTAAAAATTAGTCTGATTGAAAATAGTTCTTTTGTGTTTGAGAAGCATTTGAGAAAAGAATAAGATTATTATGCAAGAATTTAAAAGAACAAGTAAATAAACATAAAATTAGGTCAACTATATTTTATATGGAAAAGTTTATTATACATGAAAATGTAGTGATAATTGTATTGCAATTTCTTTTTTTTTTTCTTTTTGAAATAATTAAGATAAATTGTATTTCTGTATGCAGAATATCGAATATTTGAATAGGGAAAAAAATGCTTATCTAATCGAGGGATTTTGTGTTCGTGCTCGACCTTATTTTTGATGGAATTTGACCATACAATGATTGATAATACAATGATAAGAACGTTAAATAACGCAAGAGATATCTTCCATTTTTAATAATATACTTGCCTTTCAATATATTTTAAATTAGAATATCATTTCTAATAGTAATTATAAAATACAATTTGTGATTGTATCACATTCGAAAAATGAGTAGAGAACATGCATAGTATTAGAGAGGAAATAAAATGAAAGAATGGAGAAAGCTAGTTGAATGACGTACTCATACTAATGTACGTTAAACAAATTGGCCAATCGAGTATTAGATAATACAAACAAATAGATGTAGACTTTCATATTTCTTTTTTTTTTCTTACATTCTATTTATAATTATTCAAATCAATAGTGTAGTAATACTTTAGAGATATCATTCTATAAGAAAAATTTGTTAAAACATATTTTTTTTTGTTGTTGTTGTTGTTGTTGTTGTTTTTTTCATATATCTTTGTATGAGATATTTATTGGGATCAATACATAGATTGGTTTATAGATACTTATTGAATTCGATTGACATTCAGGTGTGATATTCTCATTGTATTATGTAAACAAATTTGTATAATCAGCTTTCTTTTGTTTTGTTTTTTTGCTATTTTGTTATTGACACATCATTGTTAGAAAAATGCTTGTAATGTCTTTTATAAAGATATATTTGATGATTGTTGTTGTGTAATTATTAAAAGAGATGAGATATTCAACAAAGTATAAGTATCGCCTTCGGCATGCAAATAAAAGATCAATACTAAGATTTAAATAAATTCATTATGATATTGTCGTGATAAAAGAAAAGCAACAAAAAGAAACTATGTTTGACAGGCAATTGTTTTATCTACTTTCATGTTATTTGACATTTTGTATGAGTTAAATACTTATTTGAAATCATCTGATTATTTTATTCATGTTTAAGAATCTTTTCTCGATCTTTTTTTTTTGTTTATAATAAAGATTATCAAGTTTATTGTAATGAAAATACAAATGAGAAAATATGATTTTGTTCTATTTCATATATATGTATATAAATATTTAATCCTTAGATGTATGGATTCTTATTTTGCTGCTGGACGTCGAATAGCATTCATTATTTCTGATGTTGAACTATTACTTAATTGTTTAACAGTATTATTATTCATTGATATTGATGATATTGATGAATTTGTTTTTGGTGGTACTTTTCCAGGAATACTTAGAGTAGTATAAAGATTAGTAAAAAGTGATGTTAATAATAATGGTGCTTGATTTTCTAAAACATTAACAATTTTTGTTCCAACATTTGGATTAAACATTTCTTTAAGACCAGTTGACATTATTTGACCAACAATAGTACCTATACGATCTAATGGAAGAATTGAAAGAACTGTTCCAGCTGTATCAACATTTGACATTGATTCATCATTTTGACGACGAATACGATCTTTATGAATAGATAATCTTTTTAATTTTGATTGCATAATTTCCTTTTGATTTTCTCCAAAATCTATACAATAAATAAAAGATACGTAACAAACAAAACAAAAATTTGATACAAAAATATCTTAACCTGCATCATTATTTCTTGCTTGACAATGTTCAACTGTAACGCATAGAATTACTGTTACAAGAATCAATGAAATGATTTTTGTCATTGTCAATATCTTCGATTAAAATGAAGATAAAACATATTTTTGTTGTTGTTCTTATACAACTGTAAGTCTTGTACGTACATCCTCTTCATAAATAAATATGTACGATGTGCAAGAGAAAAGTAATCATGTAATTATCCGAATAGTAAAAGTAACTTGCACTTTTAATCAATATATATACATATATATTGATCCAATAGATGTAAATGTTTACGTCAGTCAAATATAAATCGGATGATGTAGCATTTTTTTTTTATCCTTTAATATACTCATCGACTTTATCATTATAAATTGAAAAACAGATTTATTTTATGCGTAGGAATGTCGTATTTGACTGATTATCGTGAGTAAACATTTATTTTTGAATTGAATATGCACAAGAAAAAATCGAAATAATAAATTGATTGTGATTAATGTTTCGAATTTACATTAAATATCTTAAACTAAATCTTGAATACACTAATTATCCTTCAAGTATGTCCTGAAGTTGCTTGGATTGAATGGAGTCGATGACTCAGAAGACTAACTGGAAGATTTTTGTTAAAATTCACTGGATGTGAGGGAGAGGTTAAGAACCTTTTAAGGAATCAGTGAACAAAGAAAACAATGCAACGTTGAAGAAAAACAAAAAGTTTTCAAGATTTGGAGGGGGTATGTCTATTATCCTTAGCGATACATTGTAAGACTGTATGATGTAGAGCCAAATAAGCTATAAAATCCCTTAAGAAGAGTTTGGAATCTTAGTTTTTTTTCAGCTCAATACTGTGGCTTTCTTCAGAAATAATAGAAAAACTGTTTTTTCGAATTTCGACTTGAAACTGTGCATACAGATAAGGGCTTAGATGTTTCCTTCGTCCACAGGTATTCTAGATAGAGCATATTCGAAAAAATGGAAAATATGAACAATAATATCGAATTAATCTTATATAACCTTTATTATTCTTTCGTAGGATCTCTTAACCTACATAGTATATCTGAAGGTTTATTTTTATACTTTTTTTTTTGTGAGCGACTTTTGAGTTTGGTGAAAGAGTCCGACACTGAGTGTCAATAAAGTATAAGTCAATGAGCAAAAATCCAGTAGATCATTTGGTGCTAGCATGTTAACATAATAGTTGTTAGTTCGTAAAAAATTACTGTTTCTGATTAATTTCTAATTTTTAAGTTTTTGATCTGTCAACTCTAGTTCCTATTCTAAAATATGACTGCAGTAAAAGCATGTCTTTCACATCGTTTAAAAACACCTGCAGACTCCATGTTCTTATTTTAGGATAGAAGCAATTGAAAATACTTGAAACTTTTACAATGAACTATCCTTTTTAAAGCCTATCTGAATGCAAAGCTTCAAGTCGAAATTCGAAAAATCAGTTTTTTTTTACGTTCCTGAAGGGAGATCAGGATATTGACTTGAAAAGTACCATAAAGATGCCGTATCTTCGTAACAGTAGGTTAAGAACTCGGACTTTCTCTTAGGGCATTTATTAGGGTCCGCGTGATGCACATAATCCCGAATCAAAAATGATAAACCAGTTGAAACAGAGATGTCTATGGCAACGCAGCTGGCATAACGGTAGCGCTGCGGCGGCAGCAGATTTTTTTCAAAAACTATTGCGGCAGGTTTTTTAGGAAGAAATTTCAAAAATACATGAATTTGCAGAGAATCTCGGTGTTCATATATGTGATATTGTAAGACTTAGCAAATCTGGTTGAGTAGCAGCAGCAGTTCTAGTGTGAACTACTCATGGCCTTGAATATCGAAACATTTTTTTGAATATTATCACCGCAGTGGCAAGTGTTTTTTAATAGTGCATCGCAGTATCTTTACTGGGTTATCATCACGATGCGACAGCGGTAGATTCTCAGTCGCGATGAACATCTATGAGTGGGAAGACTTTCCTCGTAAGATCAATCTACGTTCATGATATGAAAAAGTCATTCGAGCCACCATGGTTGAATGACTACGTTGTTCGGCAGGTATCCACAAAGTACTGTGCTCAAACCTTGGTATCATCAGTCATGAAATGCCCTCTGACTAAGTCACTAAAGGCTGTTTGTCTTGGATCATCCATCTAATATCATATTGACTACGTGATGACATACACCTACTCTTGTAGTTAGTTAGTGTGTGTGTGCGGAGAGCTCAAGGATTTGAGCGCAAGAACTCTACATAAAGTAACTGGAAGGCAAGGGTATTCTTTCTTTCTTCCTGACAGTCATTTTATATAATCTTGGCTTATTTTTGTATATACAGCCCTGGACAAAAGTCCCGCAACTAGTCAAAATGTACCTAAATAGTAGTTATTCACCCTGAAATTTTAGCCATAAGTAGAACTCGATGAATCCTGATCGTAGACAAGAGTTCGGTCTCTATCACCTTGATAAGGCTGAAATATAAGATCAACATCAAGTATATTTTCATGTGGTGATATCTCGAGTTAGAAGAGAGATTCAATGGTGTTGAACTCATCATTGGAAAGCTCACGTCTTGTTCTCTTCTCAGTTAAATTTTCAATGCAAATGAATGTTCCATCGTTAAGTTATGAATCACATTCTTCATTAACTTATTGAAACTGAACTGTCATCAACCTACTGATTTTGACTTGAATCTCGGGCTAGACTCAATTGTTTGCTTTGAAAACTGTATCACAAAATGCTATACTCTATACAATTCTTCTCTAAAATTTTCAGAATCACAACTATCAGGAAAATGAAGATTTATAACATTTTGTACCTAAAAATTGACAAGTTCCGGAAATCGTTAAATAAAAGTATTTCGAGCTGCTCTTTGTAGCATAAGTAGGTCACCATCAGAACTACCTATTGCATAAAAAATATGACTTTGATTCCATCAAATAAAAGAAAAACACTATAAGTTTTGTTTACGACCATTTCTCGTTTCAAAATAAAAAAATAACATTAACTTCTAAAGATTACGCAAATTCCTTATTTTTTATTTTCTTCAACTTTCACTAAATTCAGAACGCCTCAGAAATATCCAATGAAAGGTACTTTCTCATTTTATAAGTAACACATTTTTATTATTTGCTACTCAGATTGTTAGGTGCTTCATCTATAGTCGAAATTTTTATCGTTTAGTTATCGAAAATGAACTAAAAGAATGATAATATCATTCACAGGATTGACCCAAGACCCTCATCTGTATTTTGGAGTAAAGCAATGCCATCTTTTCGCCATAGTAATTACTTTTATTTATTGGATACTCTTATAGTGGCGGATTTTTCTATATTAGTGTACTTTTGTCTCAGTCATGAAACTAAAGGAATTCATTGTACAAAATTTTCTTTCTGCAATGTCTCTTGAACTACACCAGCGATACAAACGCATATTTCTGGCAAAACATAAATAAGGACCTAAATTCGGTATTAATTATATTGCACAATTGATGAACTGTAAACGATCAATAGTCATTCGTTGGCTAAAACGGTGGAATCAAACGAAGATCTTAGTGATCAAGGAAGATCAGGAAGACCACAATAAACAACAACACAACAAAATAAAAATATTATCGACGTAGTTACACAAGATACAGATGAAGGATTATCCACTGAGCAAATACGAGAACAAGTGCAAGATGATGGTATCAATGTTAATGCACAACAATACGTTGACAACTGAAAGAAGCAGGTTTCAAATACTCGAAACCTCTTCTAACTGAACAGCATCAGAAAAAACATTTAGCATGGGCCAAGTCATTAGTAAATTATAATTGGAATCAGGTGATTGGAAGTGATGGAACGATGTTCCGTCTTCATGATATTAAAAGGTTCTATTGGCAGCGTTCAGGTGAACGCAAAGTCTGCCGAAAAATTAGGTGCATAATCAAACTGAATGCATGGTGTTGTTTATTTTCGACCGATTTCGGACGAATCGTTTGCTTTAAAAACGACTTGACAAGCGCTTTTTTATGTAATAATATCTATCGAAATGTTCTTCTCTCTACAGCACGTGAACATTTCGGCCGTAGTCGACATTAGTTGTTGATAGAGCATAATGATCCTAAACATCGATCAAGATTTAGCGTAAAGTGGAAGAAAGATCATTTCGTCAACACATTACCTTGGCCATCGATGAGTCAGGATATGAATCCGGTTGAGAACTTGTGGTCTTTACTAAAGATCAAAGTTGCTCAACGTCGACCTACAACAGTCAAAGGACTAGAAAGAGCGATAAAAAAAAAGAATGGAATAATTTTCCCCAAGAATTAGCATCAAATCTTACGGATAGTATGGTAATACGTGTTGAAAGTCTCATCGAGGCCAATGGTGATTACATCATGTATTGAGATATATGATTTCATACTAATAAAGAAAATTGAACATAGCAAGTGTTTAGCCTTGCTAATTGCAGCACTACAAAAGATCATGATTTTCAACGCTGTTTTATCGTCGAATATTTCTTTTGCCATTGTGATTTGATCGATAGTGTTTCACCACTGAGACTTGAATGAAGCACTTAACAATCTGAGTAGCAAATGATAAAAATGTGTTACTTATAAAATGAGAAAGCACGTTTCATTGGATATTTCTGAGGCGTTCTGAATTTAGTGAAAGTTGAAGAAAATAAAAAATAAGGAATTTGCGTAATCTTTAGAAGTTAATGTTATTTTTTTTATTTTGAAACGAAAAATGGTCGTAAACAAAACTTATAGTGTTTTTCTTTTAGTTGATGAAATCAAAGTCATATTTTTTATGCAATAGGTAGTTCTGATGGTGACCTACTTATGCTACAAAGAGCAGCTCGAAATACTTTTATTTAACGATTTCCGGAACTTGTCAAATTTAAGTACAAAATGTTATAAATCTTCATTTTCCTGCTAGTTGTGATTCTGAAAATTTTAGAGAAGAATTGTATAGAGTATAGCATTTTGTGATACAATTTTCAAAGCAAATAATTGAGCCTAGCCCGAGATTCAAGTCAAAATCAGTAGGTTGATGACAGTTCAGTTTCAATAAGTTGATGAAGAATGTGATTCATAACTTAAC